AGGTTTATTTGTTGCAGCTCGCAGACGATCTGGAGGAGGTTGATCCGACACGAGTGCTCTGTCATTTTGCTCGATTCCCTCTGACGGACGAGCTTGCTGTTGTACTCATGTTATCTCAGGTAAGTCCACTTCATCATCTCCATATAGCTCCGCTGAACACAAACACTATCTTAGAACTAGGCATACAAGTCGGTTGCGCCCGTACCAGGCTGCGAGCCGCTCTCCCAGCCGCTCTTAGCCGCCGGTGGGCCGCCGCCGGCTATTGAGTGGCTTGCCGATGCAGCCACTGGCGGCCCGTCGGCGGCCCGATTATATACCGGACGATCCCGAATCAGGTATATCGCACCTTTATGCTATGTGTTACGCTATTTGCATCCATATTCCGGATTCGCTATCAACCCGAGATGTGCTTTGATATTTTAGCTATGATTCATTGTACTGTATCAGGCCAAAAACCGGACTTCCCCATTGTTCCATATATTTATCCATATTTGCTCTATCACTGGGTATATCTGCGGAAATTGATATTCAAATATGGTAATGCATTTGTTTCTATTTGATATTCCCTGACATTACCGTTGTAGGGGATCGTCTGTGGCTCAGCTCCCATATGGGGAGTATATGACTGTATATGGTGGTTGTGTGGAATTCACAATATTGTATTGACATATGGGACTGAATGCCACCGCGTGTCATATTATCGGTTGCTCGATGTGGAGTGAGGGTCGGAACTTGGGCTTCGATCGTATATGCGTGCTATGGAACCTGGAACCGAATACATTCGGGTCAGCCTCAAACACTTCCGGTACGCTCGCGGACTGTGATGTCACTGGCGCGTCCAGAAGATTGAAGACAGTATTCGCATATGGAGGACTGCGTTTCTTGGGTCCTCAAATACAAAATCAAGAATGAGTTGTATGATGTCACCCCCTTCTCCTTCTCCAAGACCCACTTTCAGGACTGTGAGCAGGGGAGCCAGTCTAAGTATCAGTAAGCTCGCTCCATAGTCTGGACTGATGAAGATGTGTCTCTGTCAAACTCGGCCCTTTGTAGGCTCCTGAGAGTGGCTTGCATCATGCCGGTCTGCCTGAGCCTGATGCAAGACGGTCTTGATGCTTCCTACCGGCCGTAAATGACATTTCTCGAGTCGGAAGGTGATTTCGGGGCAAGCTCGGCCCCTAGGTCCTCGCTGGGTGAAGCGCTACGCCTCTGAAGTACATCCGCAGGGACCCCTATGTCGTGTACTCCTGGATTTATACATTTAACATGTGCAAGGACGGGTACGTGCAGGATGTTCAGGATGATACGGCAGAAAGAGGCAGGCTTTAGAACACGAGTGATGGAATTACGTGGTAGGATGCTGGGAACGGATGCCTCGGGCGTATATGTATGTATGTATGTCCACTCGTGTTTGATCACAGTATGCCCGATGCGCTTAATGTATCCACCTGCTCCGTTTGGTGATTCGAATGGCACGATATAATGGAATCAAGTGGCAGCTGTAAAGACAACAGCACGACGAGTAAGCATATAATGCTGAAACGTAACATTCGATACACTTACATCCTGCACGACGCCCCTAATCGATCTACACAACAACGGATTCAAACTCCGGCCAGACAGCAGTTCGATTTCCCACGCTCACAGCCTTTCTCCTAGCTTTGTTCCCTTGCTGCGACCGCACGTCTTCTACCTCTCTCTCTTCCACCTCGCTGTTGTTTCTCTCTTCCGTTCTCTGTCTTACGCGCAACAGTGAGTATTGGTTCTGGTGTCCTTCTTCTGGGACTTGCTCCAGGGCGATCGTGCTACATCTGAGCGAAAACGGTTCGAACGGACGACAGGCGACGCCTTAAGGCCGAAACGTGGCGGGGTGTCGTCTCTGCCAGCGACGCAGGCGGTATGGCATGTGGCACGGTTTGTAGGTGCTGGGGAATGCGACGACGACGCTTTTGCCATTGACTGGTTGCTGTGCTGGCGTCGTCGCCGCGCTTTGTGCCCAGTATGGCGCTTACGTGTGGTTCGGACGACGCGGCTGACCGATCACTTGTTCGTCCGAGTATAAAATCAGTGCGATGGCGACCCTGCCCTTACTCTTCTCCTCTCTATCCTTGACGACTCTCCTCGTCGGAGGCATCTCACTGACCCGATCTTTTCAATCAGGAAATAATCTTTCATGGCCGACAACTCATCTCACAGATTAGACCTCCGGGTGGGAGGCAAGTACAGGCTCGGGAAGAAGATCGGCTCGGGATCGTTCGGTGAGTTGGCCCTGTTGTATTCGCGTGAAGAATATGGCTGACGTTGCGTGCTTCGCAGGCGATATCTATCTCGGCATCAACATCATTTCCGGGGAGGAAGTCGCCATCAAACTCGAGTCCGTGAAGGCCAAGCATCCTCAGCTTGAATACGAGTCCAAGGTCTATAAGACCCTTGCCGGAGGTGTGGGTGTGCCTTTTGTCCGGTGGTTCGGGACGGAATGCGACTACAACGCGATGGTGCTCGACCTATTGGGGCCCTCGCTTGAGGATCTCTTCAACTTCTGCAACCGCAAGTTCAGTCTGAAGACCGTCTTGCTCCTCGCGGACCAATTGGTGAGTCAGCTCTCTGTTTCGATTATGCGTACATCGCTAACGTTCCTATGTAGATCTCTCGCATCGAATACATTCACTCTCGTAACTTCATCCACCGTGACATCAAGCCCGACAACTTCCTTATGGGAATTGGGAAGCGGGGCAACCAGGTCAACGTCATTGACTTTGGTCTGGCGAAGAAGTTCAGGGACCCGAAGACTCACCTCCACATCCCTTACAGGGAGAACAAGAACCTGACGGGTACGGCTCGGTACACATCTATCAACACTCACTTGGGTGTAGAGCAGTCTCGACGCGACGACCTGGAGTCTCTTGCTTACGTCCTCATGTACTTCCTCCGTGGATCGCTTCCCTGGCAGGGCCTCAAGGCTGCTACCAAGAAGCAGAAGTACGACCGTATCATGGAGAAGAAGATGACAACGCCGACTGACCTCTTGTGCCGCGGCTTCCCCAACGAGTTCGGCATCTTCCTCAACTACACAAGGGCGCTCCGCTTCGATGACAAGCCTGACTACTCCTACCTTCGCAAGCTCTTCAGGGACCTGTTCGTCCGCGAAGGTTTCCAGTACGACTACGTCTTCGACTGGAGTGTTCAGAGGGGTGCCCAGGAGGAGGGCAGCGCTAGCACTTCACAGAAGGCTGCTGCTGGCAGGAGGAAGGTCGTTCAGGAAGAAGAGGAGCCCCGCGTAAGTGACCGAATGTAAGTTGTGACGCTGAGATCTGAATCTTCATTTTTTGACTGCTCCTCCGGACAGGCTCCGCTCGCACACGCGTCAGCAGCAGCAGGCGGCCATGCCAGGCGCCGTGGGGCAACAGCGCCGTGGTCGTGATGATGCCAACCTCTGGTAGATGTGTTCTCTTCCTTCCCTTTCCGCGGAGTAGAGCACGTCCGGTTATGGGCAGTCCTGGTCGTGGTGTGGTCACAGGTTATGTTGGGGTGTTGTTTGTGTGTCGGTCGCGTTTTCTGGCTGCAATGGTCCGGAGTGATCGGAGGTCCCGTCGAGGCGTATCAAGTGATCGGTGTGGGTGGACTCAAACGCAGTGATAGCACGCCCGGTTTTGCCGGATACGTTGCGCATCCACGGCATCCACTCTTTCAATAGTCACGGCAACCTTCCGATATACCGCTCCGGCTCGGCGTCACTGTTGCACACATACAGCTCGATTTAATATGGCTTGGGCGGACCCAGGATGACTTGCTCGAAACCGTCTACGCAGACGGTTGCCTCCCATTTTTTTCCGTACGGACGCCTTTTCTTTTCAGGTTGACCATCGTTCTTCTGTAGAACACCATGGACAGCTGCCTTTTCCCTTGTCGTGTAATGCCCCCACTCGCGCCGTACCCCTGTTGAATCTTTTCAACCGCGTCTTATTCATCTGGCTTCCGTCCTGCCCTGTGTTATTTCCACATCTGCAAGCATCATCATCTTCATACACACGTTCCTTTGTTACTTTTTTACCCATTCCGTCACCATTTTGGGCTTATCAAGCTCTTCGCTGTCCTCCTTTCCTCCACTTCACCTTTTCATGTTAAGGTTGAAGGCGTGCTGGACAGGAGAGGGCGCCGCGTCTGATCTCTGCTGCCTTCAGGATGAAGATATGGGACTGCGGCTGAGGGTGCCAATAGGAGAGAAGAGATCTGCCGAAGAACACCAGAAGCTATGTTTCACCATGTCAATGTTGGCAAGGCACTCATGACTTCGTGTCTCTGGAGGGTTGAAGGTGTCGAAGTTAGGGCGGCAGGAGATTCAGGCGCGTTCATGTCTATTTAATATGCGACTGGGTTGTTGCTATACGCCGCCCGTTTCTGTTACGAGTCTGCAAGGATCGTTGTCTTGCGTATCATGTCATTGCAGCCTTGTATATATGATATTTCCAGTACGCATAGCAAGGAATCGCAGGTCATTCGCCTTGCAATATATTGGATGTAGGATGATCGAACATTGAGATTGAATATTGAACGGATGCTGTGCAACACGCGCTTTTAGAAGCCACCACGTAGCTTGGGATTCGGTCACTTCGGCGTACTGGTGCTCCCGTTAGTCTCTGTAGCGCGGGCTCTCGACCTCTCTGTCTGTGACTAGCAGCCATGGCGGCTCTTATTATCAAGAAGGAAGACGAGAGCGGACTGAGTTCGTACTACAATAACAAGACGACTATCATCCAGGAGGCTAGGGTCTTCAACGAATCTCCCATCAGTCCGCGAAAATGCAGGGCATTATTGACGCGTATCGTATATCTCTTATACGTTGGAGAGACGTTCGGGACCCAGGAGGCCACGGAACTGTTCTTTGGAACTACTAAACTGTTCCAACATAAGGACGTGAGTCTTGAAGTTCGACGTGTTATGCCTAAGATACTACGCCGGTTCGTCTTCACAGAGTGCCCTTCGACAAATGGTCTATCTCGCCATCAAGGAACTATCCACGACAGCGGAGGACGTGATAATGGTCACTAGCAGTATCATGAAGGATATGCAACCGAACTCGGAGGTCATCTACCGGTCGAATGCTATCCGTGCTCTTTGTCGGATTATAGACGTGCGTTCTCATTCCTACTCAGCTGATTCTGATAATTGAGGTGAACTTAGCCGTCAATGGCCCAAGGAATAGAGCGCTTCTTTAAGGCCGCCATTGTTGACAAGAACCCTTCCATTTCCTCCGCCGCTCTTGTTTCATCATATCACTTATTCCCTCATGCGAAGGACGTTGTCAAGCGATGGGTGAATGAGGCTCAGGAGGCTGTCAGCGGGAAGTCCTCGAGTTCGTTCTTCGGCGGCAGCTCCAGCAGCGGTTATTTGGGCGGATGGGGCTCGCAAACTCAGTCGCAAAGCGGGTATCAGGCCATTCCTTCAACCAGCTACATCACTCAGTATCATGCTTTGGGTCTGTTGTACCTAATCCGGCAACAAGATAGGATGGCTGTTACCAAAATGATCCAACAACTGGGCGGTGGAAAGTCTGGCACCGGCACTACACTGAAAAACCCTATGGCCCTATGCATGTTGATTCGCTATGCTGCAAAAGTCATGGAGGAGGACCCGAAGTGAGATTTTTTACCGTTTTGCAGCCGAACGGCTCTGAGAATATCTATAGCATGCAGAGACAGATATTGGAACTCCTGGAAGGTTGGCTACGACACAAGAGCGACATGGTAAATCTTGAAGCTGCACGAGTCATCTGCGAGATGAAGAATGTGACTCCCGCTCAGTTAACGAGACCCATTGCAGGTGGGTCATATGTTTGGTTCCTGTCCGCTGTTACCCATACTTGCATCACAGTCTTGCAATTACTCTTGTCATCCCCTAAATCGACTCTCAAATTCGCTGCAACCCGTACACTCGCCTCCCTTGCGTTAACGCATCCAGCTAGCGTCGCCACATGCAATATTGAGCTGGAGAACCTGATATCTGACCCCAACCGCAGTGTCGCGACCTACGCTATCACAACCCTGTTGAAGGTACTTATGTCCCCTTACGAGTCCTGTTACTCGTGACTCATTGGACGTTATAGACTGGTAACGAAGCGTCCGTGGATCGCCTCATGAAACAGATCACAGGTTTCATGAGCGAAATCTCTGATGAATTCAAGGTTATCATTGTCGATGCTATCCGGACCTTGTGTCTCAAATTCCCAGGAAAACATGCTTCCATGCTAGGATTCCTGTCTGGCGTTCTGCGCGACGAGGGTGGCTATGACTTCAAGAGAGCCGTTGTGGAAGCTATATTCGACATGATCAAATTTATTTCCGACGCCAAGGAGCAGGCCTTGTCCCATCTGTGCGAATTCATCGAAGATTGCGAATTCACAAAACTGTCCGTTCGCATTCTCCACCTGCTTGGGTTGGAGGGACCGAAGTCGCCGCAGCCGGCCAAGTATATTCGGTACATCTACAACCGAGTGGTGTTGGAGAATGCTACTGTCAGGTCAGCGGCGGTCGCCAGCCTTGCGAAGTTCGGGGTTGGCGTGCAGGACACCTCATTGCAGAAGAGTATCAGCGTCTTACTGAATCGTTGTCTGGACGATGTCGACGACGAAGTGCGCGACCGAGCTGCTATGTATTTAAAGGTCATTAAAGAACCAGAGCTGGCAAACGTTTACGTTAAAGAAGGTAACAAAAAATGAGTTCTTCGTAGGGATCAGTCTGACCTAGATTATTGATAGAGTCAATACCTTCGCTCGCGGCACTGGAGCAGAAACTAGTCGCATATGTGAACGAGCCCGACGCTGCGGAACAACCATTCGATATCAACTCAATACCAAGGGTCAGCCGAGCACAAGCAGTTTCTGAAGCAGCGCGTGAGTGACGTTATTACACTAGTACGACTAAACTTGACCTCGGCGTATTCCAGGTCCAAGTACCTTGGACACCATTAGTGCGCCTACTGCCAAGAAGAGCGCGAGCCCCCCTCCACCAACTGCTGCAGAGACTCAATCAGCATATGCTCAACAGCTTGCGGAAGTGTCAAACTTCGCTTCGTATGGCCCTGTTCTGCACAGCAGTTCCAAGCCCACACCACTGACGGAGAGCGAGACCGAGTACCAAGTGTCTTGCGTCAAGCACATTTTCAAAGAGCATATCGTATTCCAGGTTTGTTACTGTTCCACGTAACCGTTACTGCATCGTCGCTCAGACCACACTGTAGCTGAACGTCTCAAACACACTGCCAGATACGATCCTGGAACAAGTTGCTGTTATTATGCAGCCTTCCACCGACTCCGGGCTTACAGAAGATTTCATTATCCAATTAGACTCTCTTGCCCCAACAACTTCGGGTGTGATCTACGTGTCGTTCACCCGTGATCACCCAGATGAATTCGCTATGACCTCATTCCAGTGTGTCCTCAAGTTCATCAGCAAGGAATGTGATCCAGCCACAGGTGAACCTGAAGAGGAGGGTTATCCGGACGAGTACGAACTGGAGGAGTTGGAGTTGACAGCAGCGGACTACATTGTCCCGACGTACGCAACCTTCTCGGCGGAGTGGGACCGTCTGCGTGGTGGTGCATCTGCTACAGAAACCTTCGCACTCTCTGCCATGGACAGTTTGAAGGGTAAGCGGATATTTCTCGCTGGAGAATAGTTGGTTGACAAGATTCTCTTCAGCTGCCTGCGACTCGATCATCGAGATCCTGAACATGGAGCCTCTTGGTGGCAGCGAGGTCCCCACGTCGAGCTCGGTGCACACCCTCCAGTTATCTGGCATGCTCCCCGGTGGCGGCGGCAAGGTGCTCGTCCGGTGTCGGATGACTTACTCCCGAGGGCAGGGTGTGACTTTGGAATTGGGTGTACGAGCGGAAAAACAGGAAGCGTGCAACCTGGTGCTGGCCGCCATTGGCGGCTAGGCACCAGGTGGGTTTCTTTCTCATGTTTGTAGATACGTGCAGGATATCATACCATTACCGGACGCTAGACGCTACTACGGTTCCTGTATCGAACGAACAGCACGGAGGACTATAGTTGATCCTCCGGCTTAGAAGTGGTGATCGGGTTGCGGCCGTTTACTCGCCGGTGGGGTCAGTCGAGCAAGGCGGGGTGCAGTACAGTCCGCGGTTCCCCATACAAATGTAGATGGTCTCACTGCTATCTGTCTATTCCCGCTGTCAAGGCCTTTGTCTCTCCGGTCGCGCTCTCTACCGCCGCCCCAGACATGCCTACGCCGTCCCTACCTGCGCCCAAAGTCATTCATGTCGACACGAGAGGAGCGGTAATACTGGAAGAGGAGTCGCCTGAGGTTGGTGCCCACGAGCCGTCGAGGCCAGGTCACGATCTTGACTGTTGCCTTTGGTCTAGACTAGGGACAGTCGAGGGATATACCTCCCAAATCATATCGAGCCCGTATCGCATATTGCAGTCGATGTGAGTGGTGTCATACTGGCACTTCTTTGCATCATGCTGAAATGACTACTTCTGCTGGGCCTGCGTAGATCGGCGGTTCTCTAGCCAAGGTCGTGTATTTCACGCGTTCGCCCGAACCTCCATCCTCCCCCTCAGTCGCTGCGACAAGGGGCACAAGTACTGCGAGTCCTCTGTCGACACCCCCATCAAGCTCGCCTACCAGCTCGTCACATTCCTCACCCCGATTCCCCGCCAGCAACTCCCATACGAAACATAACGGTGCTCTTACCCCTCTCGTCCTAGACGCACACAACCACGTCAACGGCAGCACTTACCCCTTTCCAAATCCTCAAAGCGTACACAATGCGCTGGAGATCGACGGTATGGATGCGAGCTTCTTGCACTCGTCGATCCTACAGCACACGACATCACTACGACATTTCCCCGGCGGTTCGCTAACCTTCGAGCGCTTCGAAACAGACAACATAGACGAATGCGTCTCATTCATTCAATCCCTTATCTCCTATTCCGCTGAGCTCAACGGCGTGTCGCTGGACGAGATGCGGCGGGGTGTGAAAATCGTCGCAACGGGTGGCGGCGCACACAAGTTCTACGACCTGTTCCAGGGCACGCTGGGCGTCGAGGTGGTACGGGAGGACGAAATGGAATGCCTGATAGAAGGACTGAAGTTCATCACACTCATTCCAGACGAAGTCTACTATTTCTCGGACGAACTCGTCCATGCAGTCTCACATGCAACACCGGGGTGCTCAGTTAACGGGAATGTCAATGGCTCTTCGGGATCTGTCACGCTAGAGAGGCCGGGGCCTAATCCGCCGCAGTTTGCGGTTACGTTTGAGCAGAATCCGACGCCTCAATTACCGTGTTTGCTAGTGAACATCGGATCGGGTGTCTCTATCATCAAGGTGGACGAAGATGGCAGTTTCGAACGTGTCAGCGGGACAAGCTTAGGAGGCGGAACTTTATGGGGCCTCCTAAGCATGTTGACTCAGGCAACCAGTTTCGATGGTAAGTTTGATTAGATTAGTGCTCCATGCGCTTGTCCGGACAGTTGGGCTCATACTTTCGTTCCCAGAGATGCTGGCGTTATCAGAGAAAGGGGACAACTCGACCGTGGACATGCTCGTAGGAGATATTTATGGGCAAGACTATAGTCGTCTAGGCTTGAAGTCGACGATGATCGCGAGTTCCTTCGGGAAGGTATTCAAGAAGAGCGGCGAAAAGCGCAAGTTCTCGCCGGAAGACATCAGCAAGAGTCTACTATATGCTGTATCTAATAATATCGGACAAATCGCGTACGTATCTTTCACGTCAGTTCCAGTGCTGTTGCTGATTTGGATCTGTGCATCAGTTACATGAACGCGGAAAAATATAATTTGGATAGGATCTACTTTGGCGGTTGCTTCATTCGAGGTACGGTCTTACCTGTTTGAGAGTGTCGTGCTAGTTCTCATGTTATTTCCCCAGGGCACGCGGCCACAATCGGAACATTATCGTACGCTATAAGGTTCTGGAGCAAGGGAACAAAGCGTGCGCTGTTTCTACGACACGAAGGCTTCCTGTGAGTGTGCACTCTTGCCACCGTTTCGCCGAGGCCTATTTCTGACTGTTGACCTGCAGTGGGGCTATCGGAGCATGGATAAGAAATATCGAGCGGCAGGATGAAGCCTGAAATAGACATCGGCCGGGCCTGTATGGGATATCTGCTATCTACTGCGGACTATGGAGGAGAGCTTGTTATTTATTGGCACATATCTCACAACGTGTATAGTAGGCACTAGGATAATAAACCAGCATGCAACAGTTTCATAGAAACAATCTTGTCTGAAATGAGTGGATTTGAACGAGAAGGCTGTGGTGGCCGTACAAACGGAGAAGGCATTGGCCGAGGATGGCAAGTGCCGTAAGAGGGAGGCCGCATCGGACGAGCGATGCGTCATTTCGATCTCGTACCGACCGTGGCTCCGACAAGGAAGGAAGGACCGTGTCTTTGTTGCACTGCTTTTGACTCTGCTCAATGCGGTTCAAACAAGTCCCGCCTGCTTCCGACTTGTCTGACTCTGCCTTTGTGCTTTGTCTCGGTGTCGAAGGTTCCGGGGAGTGGCAGCGGCAGGTGGGCAAGGTTGCCGAGTGTTGCAGGACGTGATGTATGCAGCAGCAATGAGGGATGTCATAGCATACGTGATACATAGCCACGTGCGGACGAAAGACCATCCAATCCGGGTCCAATTGATGCAGATTATTGATGATTCCAGACAGGGTTAGGCACATACACATGCCGTCTGTCTCCGGCTTTATGGAGCTCCCATGCAACGCCCGGCTGGCACGAAAACTTCGTCGAGCTTTGTAGGATTTTATAGCGGTCGTTTGCGCTGCTGCAAACCCTTTGCCATCGCGTCAAGCAGTGGCAGGTCGGCCAGGAGGTACCCGGCGGAATCAAGGCCTCGATCTCGGCAATCGAAAAGGCTAACATAGCAGCCATTTGCAGGCGTGGGAAAGCTGGGTTAATTAGCGATCCGAAGTCAATTAGCAGCAGCTTAGCAAACTGAGCCGACCTTGTCAGCCCTTTATACACCCTTTGTAATTTCATCCCACTGCCTTCTTCCCTCTCCTCTCCATCCTACCAGCCTTTCCCGCTATGGTTACCTCCTTTGCGTCCTGGCCTCGCTCTATTGATGCTTCGTCCGACGCAGGCGACAACGACTCTGTTATCATGGACAAGCAACAGCAAAAGAAACCTCGTCATAGGCACTCGGCCGTCCAGCTCGCCGCCTTGAACGAGCTCTACGACAAAAATGAACATCCCTCGCTGGAGGACAGAACATCTCTCGCGAAGAGGCTTGGAATGTGCGTTCCACCAGAACGTTTGCCACTCACCGATTGGTGGCTAACTGCGCTTCATTAATTTTACAGGGAAGTCAAGACCGTGAATGCGTGGTTTCAGAATAAACGAGCCTCAACAAAGAAACGACAGCAGCAACAACTACAAAACAAGGCACAAAGATCTAATAACCCTTACGAGCTTCCGCCTATATCCGCTCTATTGGCGTCCGCACCGTCCCCTTCCACATCGAGCCCCGTTTCTCGCCCTGTTCATCGATCATCGTTGCCCGTGGAATACGACGATTACTTTGACGAGGAAGACCATATAATGCACAGTCATCTTCCGCCTATCGGAGGCTATCCCCCACATCAGTCAGCTTTCTACGCAGGAACTGCTGAGGGTAGGCATATTATCGAGTCAACGCCGGAGCCGACCGTTCCCCGCAAGATGCGCTTTAGGCCCACTCCTCAGCAAACCGAAGAACTGAGAAAGGTTTACAATGTCAATCCTCACCCAAGTAAGGAAGAGCGCGAAGAGCTTGGTGAGAGTATCGGAATGTAAGTCTGTCTTATCTCCGTGTTTAAAGGTGTATATCTAATCACTTGCATTATCTATAGGCGATATCAAAGTGTAACGAACTGGTTCCAGAATCAGCGCAGTCTTGCGAAGAAACGCAAGGAGGATGAAGCTGACGGTCTCAACTCTGATGCTCATTCTGTAGCGGAGTCCCGTCGTACACGCACGTCGTCTCCTGTCACCTACTCCGCCTTCCCGCCGGCCTCCTCGCATCCCTCGTTAGGTCTCGGTGTGCCATCGGCGTCTGCCCTCCACCCGTCTCTTCGTCCGTCTACTCCCTCTGTTCCGCGATCCATGCCCTACTCCGTCTCCGGTAGCTCCCGAGCTCGCCCTCGTCGCTCACGACCTGAACCTTACCAGCTAGAGAAGCTCAAAGACCTGTTCCGTCGTACCAGCACTCCCAGTATTGAAGAGCGCGGTGCTCTTGCTTTGGAGATTGACATGGAGTTGAGCAAAGTGACGAACTGGTTTAGGAACCTCAGGCAAACCGCTAGGAGGCGAGGCATGCGAGTCGAAGACTTCTTGGACGAATACGATGGCGGGTCGGCTGAAGTCTCCCGGGCTGGAACGCCCGCTCCTTCTGGTGTATCCAGTGCTGCGTCATTACCAGATGATGCCGATAGGATGGAGATGGACGTCGAGGATGCTGACTCGGGTTTGAACATGCGTTTGACGTCCCGCAGCCATTCCGATGCTTCAGATGAAGAGTATCAAGAGGAGATCGTCACGCCCTCGCCCTCCCCGCCGCCTTCAGCCTCTGCCCCGGTGAAGGTGCATACGACATCGCCGATCTCTGACTGGGCGGAGAAGACGTGCATGGAACGATGCGCGATGCATGGCGTGAAGATGGAAGATGCTCTACTGCTCTTGAGCTTCCATCAATCCGCCGTTCTCGGGGCCTAATGAGCTTACTTGCTTGCGGAATATGAGTCTGGCTGCATTGTAAGCCTGCCCGCATCTTCGCTGATGGAAGCGATCCTGATACTTCTACCCATAGAATTGACCTACACACGACTAGTCAGCCTATCATCACCATAATACGATACCGCCCGCGCACCCCTGTTGAAATTGCCCTCTGAGCACCTGCACACATTATTCTTATTTCTCTCTCCTCCCCCGTTCCTGCAATCCTGTCTTGTCTACATTGTGCGCACGTACCCTATGTCTATAATCATTCCTGCACAGACTCTGTCGTCGTCGTCGAAGAAGTGTGTCTAAAAGCATGAATGTGATCATAGTTTTCTCGTGTTCCGTTTCAGTTCCCATGTATCTATGTTACTACCGAATTTTAGTAGCATAGTGCCTTTCATCCTGTCCGATGAACAACTTATCGACCCCGGCCCTGGATGAAAGATGGTTATCGTCTTCCATACCGCGCGAGCTTGCGGAGTGTCATTGTTTGCTCCGTCACGTATGTAGGCAAGCCACTATTCGCACAAAGGCCACTGAGTCGCGGCTGAGTAGGCTCAGGTAGGATATGCCCCATTGCCCTGGATGAAAGCTGATAAACTACGAATATGTTAGAGCCACCTTCACAAACCTGGACTCTGTGGGGTAGTTGGACACCATGCAGTCTCCTAGGGACGCAGGGAACACCTGTTGGACGGTGTCTCCTTCAAGTCTCCCTCCTGAAGTATGGCTTATGGTCTTTTGCTGGGTTTACCAGCCATGGTGTATCCTGTCGAGTACGAGCCATTCACACCGCCTAAGGCTACGGATTCCCGATATTGCGCAGATATATATGCCAATATCGCGTCGAAATGCGCTTTGGCGTCAGTATGCAAGGCTTGGCGACAGCTTTCCCTCCCGCTCCTGTTCGAAATCGTCATCATCCATCGCACCTCTCAAGCTGCTGCGTTGAAGGACTTCCTGGAGCGACAACCTGAGTATAGGCGCTTCGTCAAGGCAGCTATCATCCGGCCTCTAGGGCATCCATACCAGGACCCCTCCATGGAGGAGGATGTGGACTGGATCCCCTCAGAAATGGCACTGGCCATCGTTGGCATGTGCCCAACCCTTGATGTCCTCTCGCAGCCTTGGTGGTTTCCCTCGTATTCCTATGGCAGCTGCCATCAGCCCATGCTTGCCCTGGAGAGCATCAACCGCTCGCCCCCGTCGCACAGGGATCACTTTGGGCTTTGGAACCCTCAACACAATTTCGCGACGGCTGCGCCGAGCCTCGCAAACATCACACGGCTGGACTGGGTCTACGGCTGCAGCCCCAACGTATACTTCTTCCACAGCATGCTCAGGCACATGCACAGTCTGCGCTATCTCTACGTGAGCTCTCACAGCCAGTACACCGACCGCTACCACCCGCTCGACGCGTTCGTGCGTGTCCCGTCGCTGACGACCCTGCGTCTGCGCATCCACAGCCCCGAGCTGATCAACGGGATAAAGGCCTGGCAGCTCCCGGCGCTCACGCACTTCATCCTGGACGCGTGCCCGCGGCGGCTCGGGCAGCACCAGCTGCAGACGCTCGCGCGCACGTTCCACGCGCGCCTGCAGGTCGTCGAGCTCGGCGCGCACATGCAGTTCCTGCTCGCGGACTACGTGTCGCCGCTCCTGCGCGCGTGCCCGGGCCTGCGGCGCCTCGCGTTCCACCTCTCCTTCGCGGCGCTCCCCGCTCCGGGGCCCGCGCTCGCGGCGCTGGAGCAGGTGAGCGTGCATATCATGCCGAATGAGTTCTCGCTGGATGCGTACCATGAGCTGGGTGTCGTGCCCGCGACGGTGCTGCGCTTCGCGGAGTGGTGCGCGCGCTTGCAGACGCTGGAGTGCGTGAGGCTGTACGGGAACTGGGGGAAGGTGTTGACGGATCCTCATGCAGAGCTCGTGCAGGCGAGACGGGTCATGGGATGCTGCAGGTGCAGGTTTGAGCTCCAAGACGGGCATCGAGTCGATTTCGCCGGTCTTGTCTGAAAGCTTGGGTGCTGCATGTATCATTTGCTGCCTGTGTATGAGTGCTAGAAAATGTATGTTTATTTGCAGATCTTTGTAGCGATGTCTCGACCTGTATCCATACGCCCTCACTGTAGGAGTAACACAGGGGAACTGTAAAATCTGGCTGGTTATTATCTGAAAACAAAGGCATGTCCGCATTGCGATGCAGCGAGACAGCGCACACTGGCAATATTACATCTGGTTTATCTTTTCTATACTGTGTCATCCCTGTAGTAGATCTTCCAAGAAGAAGCGTCGAGGGCCTTTCTCAATTCTGAGTCTTCCAGAACCGTGCTCCAGTCGCCGTAAAGCGCCAGATCATCCAGCTCCTCGAGTCGACGAAGCCACTCAATCAGCCTTAGCATATGCATGCGGAACAACTCCAGATCCAGCTCCTCGAGCGAGCCTATGTGCAAACACACCTCCCTCAGCCCCGTGGCTACAATCGCCGAGCGCGCCACCGACGGTATCACGGCGTACCGCGGGTAATAGGACAGCTGGCGGAGATGCGGGCAGAGCGTAACTGCCAGCGAGACGACGTCCGACTGGCGGAAATGCTTCTCCTTCCCGCGGCCGAGCTCAAGCGTCTCCAGCGTGCGCCCGAGCTTCTCGAAGAGGTGGTGCACGCCGCGCTCGTGCACGCCGCCGACGTACACGTCCTGCTCCTCGATGATGAGGTGCGTGAGCGCGGGCAGGTCCCAGCGCGCGAGTTCGCGGTACATGGCGGCGTTCTCGAGGCGCAGGCAGAGCGTGCGGAGGCGCGGGAGGCGGAGGACGCCGGACGTGGGGTGTAGCGCGTGCGCGCCGGTGCCGAGGGAGGTGAGGGAGAGCCAGTGCAGGTGCGGGAGGCGCGCGGCGAGGGTGCGGAAGAGCGGGACGTTGAAATTCGCGGAGTACTCCCATTCGAGGCGGGTGATGCTCGTTGGGTCGGGGATGGGGTTCGGGGAGGGGGTGGCGTTGCGGAACGTCCGCGGGGATCCGAACGAGGGCCGCATGGCGAGCTTGATGTTGGGGCACGCGCAGAGGATGGGCGCCCAGTCGTAGTAGGAATATATCGGGGCCTGGTAGGAGCAGATGTGGACGGACGAGGCGTACCGGCCGTAGCCCGTGGACACCAGCCACGCCGCGGACGGGACGATGTCAAAGGCGTCCTCGCGGGGGCGGGTGAAGACGATGTGCTCGTAGAGGAACTCGGTGGCGAGGGAGCGGCATTGGCGTGATAGTAAGACGAGGTTGTACTTGAGGTTGAGGTCGGTGCTGGGGTCGTCTCGGGGAATGGTCGTGTTGCATTCTGCGAAGGGGGTGTATTCTGCGATGAACTTGACGGCGGGGGGAGGCCAGGTTGCCCAGCGGAAGATTTGGAGTAGTAATTCCGGGGGGAGGGCCATACCTGGTGACTCGGATGTAGTTCAAGACGAAGCACGGATGCAGAAACATCGCTCGGTGAAGGTAGGTTCGTTATCAGCTGGAAGCTGAAGCTAATCTTGGACCATCGGTGTATTTCGGGTCATGAGAGCGCTTGGTGAACCGCTGCATTCAGACCTCCACAAATACACGCCCAATGCGTCGTAAGGTTCTCGTGAGGTCGCAGCCGAGGTCTCGCGTCGACCTTGCTTCGGAAGGCCCGGTAGACCCCGACGTGACCTTGTTTCGGCATTTCTGCCCAGAGATGTGTGCGCCATCATTTGAGATGTCAGCGCTAAGGTCAGAGCGGCGTCTTCTTGAGACTTAGCGAGGGACATCTGAGCAAGACCGCCCTGATACCGAGTTGACATCCTCTTTGGGCTTTACTGGACATTAGCTCATAACCTCAGGTAGAGATGATACCTTGCGCTGCATATAAAGGCTGTACCTTGGACTACAGGATAACTTGAGGCCTCGAAGTATTTTAGGTATTAATAATATTGATTAGAGCAACCGGAACAGATGTAGTACTACGGCGTAAGGAGTGCTACACAAGTCCCCACTATCCGTTTGTGGGACTTAGAGAAATATCAAGGACGGGACGTGTCTGACGCGAACTGAATTCGAGCGGAGATTGAACTCGAGCGACTTCACCCGTGGTTCAAGTCGTTCCACTTCTTCAACTCCGTCTTTCACTCTCACTCGTACTCTCACTCTCACTCCGATTTCCCGCTCCTTGTCGCTGACTCGCCCGTCCGCCGCACCACGAGACAGTTGACTGCCTGCGTGACAGAGCTCTGGCTGCGATGTCCAACACTCATTGCTAACTGGTAAGTGATGAGGAACTTTCTCCGACATGTCACTCACATTCATACAGGGAACACTCAGGAGGATATTTTTATTCACTCAACATTGAGCTTTTGGTCGTGGAGTGCATCTGGGGTCAAGGTGAAATT